ATTAAGGGAGGAACATAGATTCAGGGTGTTTGAGAACAGGGTGTTGAGGAGAATATTTGGACGGAAGAGAGATGAAGTGACAGGAGGTTGGAGAAAACTGCATAATGAGAAGCTTCATAACTTGTACTCTTCTCCAAGTATAACTAGAATGATCAAGTCAAGGAGGATGAGATTAGCGTGGCATGTAGCACGAATGGGGGAGAGAAATGTATATAGGAGTTTAGTGAGAAAACAGAAGCAAAGAGACCACTAGGAAGACCGTGACGTAGGGAGTATGACATTAAAATGGGTCTTAAGAGAAACAGGATGGAATGGTGTGGACGGGATTCATCTGGCTGAGGGTAGGGACCGATGGAGGGCTCTTTGAATACGGTAAGGGACCTTCAGGTTCCATAAAATGGTGTGAAATTTTTGAGCAACTAAGAGACTGGCGGCTTGTCAAGACGGACTCAGCTCCATGGAGTTAGTTTAGTTTCCTGTCCGCTAGATTTAACTAACTGAACTGAACTTTAATTAGAGCAATTAACCTACAAAGCGTACGAACTCCCCCCCCTTCTAAGGAGCCGGGATAGCGCAGGCGGTATAGCGACTGGCTACTGGCTACGCGACTGAAGGGTCGGAGTTCCAGTCCCGGTAGGGTCAAGAATATACTCCTCTCCACGTCGTCCAGACCGGTTCTGGGGCTTACTCAGCCTACTATCCAGCGGGTACCTGGGATTCTTTCCTCGAGGGTAAAACAGCCGGGGCGTGAATCTATACATCCATTCCCCGTACGTCTTCAGGGACAACTTAACTTTGAGGAATCCTACCTACAGGCAACCTACCCTCTGATGGTGAGGCTCTTAAGGTTGCGACTGTGAAGAATAGGCTGGGATCTGACACCGTGTAGTCTCGGAGGAACGTAATGCCTTCAGGGCCGAACAAGCGTAGTACCAGACTGCACGGCGTGTGAACTGGCTGCAGCCTGGCCCTTCCAGCCAAGCCACTGCAGCACACAGCAAGTGGCACGGGGTGACAGAGTCCAGACCCGCGGCTGACACATTCCACTGTGCGGCAGGGCGTGCTGCGTGACGCGTCATGGAGATACAGGGGCAGTCTGAACAGTGGCTCCGCAGCAAAGATTTGAAGCTAGGACCTTCCGAATGCGAAGCAAGTGTTCACCGAGCTCAGACGTACAGACTGCATGCAACTGTCTGTAAGGTTCCGCATTACAGTGTATGGACGTTTCGCACAAGCTTACTGCCTCCATCTTCAGAGTATTAGGACAGTTTATTCATCCGAAACCTTGATATCCTCCTACAATACTGCATGCCGCTTTCGTTTGCATTGAGGAGTCTATCTACAGGGATGCACACGCTGGCTGACTCCAACGGGCGAGAGTTCGGCTTGAGAAACTAACAGTTGCTCATCACCCCGAGATCTGAGTGTCTTCCGATAGTAAGATTTGTATCTTCAGGTACGTGACGTCATGCAGTCTGGTAAATTGCTAGCAATATTTCGAAGAAATCTGCTGCTTCCATGTTCAGGGTCGAAGAGTAAGCCCGGCGGGAAAACGCGGCACGGATATGTGGAGACGGATGATCGGGGGCCGGCCCCGAGGACAAGGCTACACGGCGTCACACCGCAGAAGACAGTAGGCCTAATATCGTCGGTCACTGCAGGAGCTGAGTCCAGTCCAGACAAAAACCATTCCTTCAGGCCGTAGTTTCCGTGAGTTGCCCTCGGCCCTGCCCACTGAGTTCTCGCCCTGGATGTCTGCTGTACTGGAGACCGATTCCTGTCAAACTCCTTCCAGTTCATTAGTCACCATCATCCTACCCTTCCACGTTATATGGCTCAGGCCAGAGTTCGAGCCCAGGTCAGGTCATGTGGGATTTGTGATGAACAAAGTGGCATTGGGGCAGGTTTTTTCCGAGTACTTCAGTTTCCCCTGCCAATTCCTATTCCACCGACTGCTCCACATTCATCATCATCATCATCATCATCTATCATCCGGGGCTGGTACAAGAGGCCTAATAGTGGCCGACGTACCGCCTCACCCCCAAGAAACCAAAGAGTTTTGGAAATGAAACCAGCAAGCCTCGTCAGTACGTGAGTTACTCGCCGCCCAGAGATAAGCTTCGCGGAAGGAGGCTGGAAGCGAACCGGGAGGGCTCGACATGTCACCCCGACGGGTGTGTTCATGTTAACGTGTTTATTCACACGGTTTATGACCGCAATTCTTACGCTTAATAAACCGAGTATGCCGGTCGGTTCGCATGCAACGAGGAGCTATCAGGGTTCCGAAGAACTCAGACGCCCTACGCTCTGTTTGCTGCAGAACAAGTACTGTCAGGCCACAACACCCGCAGGGTACTTTATTGGAAAGTTGCTAGGACCTCCCTAATGGCATCCAAAAGTCGCCACTCTGGAGAGCTCGTTGCACTAAGGCTGAGACTCCTGTGTTACAACTGCATGCTAGAGCGTGATGGATGCATTCCCAGCAAAATCTTGAAAATTAAGCAAAGTTCTGTTTTCAAGGATTGCATCCTGTTCCGTACGTATACCTTCAACGCAACAACACTTAATTTTCTTATTTATTTATATAGCAGGCACTACATGTTTCGACATCAAATGGGTCATCGTAAGGTGCTGCGATTTTCTCACATGTTCGGTAATGGTATTTGAGAAACTTGCAGCACCAGAAGATGACCCGTTTGAAGTCGAAACATGTAGTGCGTGCTATATAAATAAAAAAAAGTATTATTGCGTTGAAGGTAAAAATTGTATATGTTCATAAGTAAAGTTCATTAATTAAGCATTATGCCCTGAAGACATATGATGGAGTGGAGGTATAGCTCCACCATTCTTGACCTAGCACATTAAATTCTCTACATGTTTCCGTCTGTCCGGCGAATGAAATGTCGTGAAATTTGATGACGTCACTGGATAATTATGCTAACATTTATATATATATTAAAAATATGGTTTAAATCAGAAAACGTTATCGGGCGTTTCACCTAAAAACTACAATCTTTTCTTCGCACATCCCTGACTTGCATTGTAACGAGGTATTATCAGCTACATTATAACTACAGCTTGCATTGTGACGGGGTTCTAACAGTAACATCTTAACCACAGCTTGCATTGTGACGGGGTTCTAACAGTTACATTGTAACCACAGCTTGTATTGTGCCAGGGTTCTAACAATTACATTGTAGCTACAGCTTGCATTCTGACGGGGTTCTAACAATTATATTGTAGCTACAGCTTGCATTCTGACGGGGTTCTAACAATTACATTGTAGCTACAGCTTGCATTGTGACGGGGTTCTAACAATTACATTGTAAGTACAACATGTATTGTGACGGGGCTCTAACAGTAACATTGTAAGCACAGCTTGCCTTGTGACGGGGTTCTAACAGTGACATTGTAGCTACAGCTTGTATTGTGACTGGGTTCTAAGAATTACATTGTAGCTACAGCTTGCCTTGTGACGGGGTTCTAACAATTACATTGTAGCTACAGCTTGCATTGTGACGGGGTTCTAACAATTACATTGTAGCTACAGCTTGCATTGTGACGGGGTTCTAACAATTACATTGTAGCTACAGCTTGCATTCTGACGGGGTTCTAACAATTACATTGTAGCTACAGCTTGCATTGTGACGGGGTTCTAACAATTACATTGTAACCACAGCTTGCATTGTGACGGGGTTCTAACAATTACATTGTAGCTACAGCTTGCATTCTGACGGGGTTCTAACAATTACATTGTAGCTACAGCTTGCATTGTGACTGTGTTCTAACAATTACATTGTAACCACAGCTTGCATTGTGACGGGGTTCTAACAATTACATTGTAAGCACAGCTTGAATTGTGACGGGGTTCTAACAATTACATTGTAGCTACAGCTTGCATTGTGACGGGGTTCTAACAATTACATTGTAAGCACGGTTTGCATTGTGACGGGGTTCTAACAATTACATTGTAAGCACAGCATGTATTGTGACGGGGTTCTAACAATTACATTGTAGCTACAGCTTGCATTGTGACTGGGTTCTAGCAGTAACATCTTAACCACAGCTTGAATTGTGACGGGGTTCTAACAATTACATTGTAGCTACGGTTTGCATTGTGACGGGGTTCTAACAGTGACACTGTAGCTACAGCTTGAATTGTGATGGGGTTCTAACAGTAACATTGGAGCTACAGCTTGCCTTGTGACGGGGTTCTAACAGTAGCATCTTAACCACAGCTTGTGTTGTGACGGGGTTCTAACAATTACATTGAAAGCACAGCTTGAATTGTGACGGGGTTCTAACAATTACATTGTAGCTACAGCTTGCATTCTGACGGGGTTCTAACAATTACATTGTAAGCACGGTTTGCATTGTGACGGGGTTCTAACAATTACATTGTAAGCACGGTTTGCATTGTGACGGGGTTCTAACAATTACATTGTAGCTACAGCTTGCATTGTGATGGGGTTCTAACCGTGACATTGTAAGCACGATTTGCATTGTGCCGGGGTTCTAAGACGGGTTTGTAGCCGAAGGCCGCAGTGTGACTGTCATGTTACAACCTGAGCATGCCATATGAAAATTTACACATTCTATGCAGAAATCTTAAATTGTAGCGTGATCCCTAGCGCGTCGAACCATGACAGAGCATACTGCGTACTGCCGTCTGTCGGAAAGTGGCTGATTTCTGTGGAATGGGCGATGTACGGATAAACCCTGCCACAATCGCAACTTCCTGCTTCTTCATCATACTCAAGATAAGCCGCTTCTTTTTCGTGTTTCGTAATAATCCGCCGGATTTCTCCATCAGCAGCCGCCATGATTTGCTCTGTGGTTGCGAGGACCACCGCAAGAGGGATGCATGTTATGGATGAAGAGTGCGATGGGGCGGAGCGAGTGTAACTATTTGTCCAATGGCTGGCGGTTCCCGCCTCTAAGCTTAGGCAGGGGTGTTTGTGCGCTTGCGCAACTCAGTAGCACCGTCTGCGTCCCGACGCTGCTAACACAGTTCTAGTGTGACTATAGAAGTGGGAGATTGTGTTTTGTTTTGCTCTGTTTTGTTTCTGTGGACCGTGGAATTTCGAGGAGAAGTGGACAGATGGCAGCAGCGGACGATGGCCAAGAACGTCGCTACTCTCAAGGTGACTATATCTTGGAGCAATAGGAACATTATATAAGCTTGAGACTAAAACGGAGGTAGTGCAAGAAAGTTGTGGGCGACTTATATCTCTCTTGCTCGCATGTCGCTTATGTACTCGCACCGTTTACAGGCAGAATTCGTGAGCTGTGTTTGCAAAAAAAGGAGGGGCTAGGGAATTTGCAAGGTTCCCTCTTCAAACTGCTTTTCATCAGGGCGATCAAATCAAAACACAGAAGATACATGCACAATTTCGATAGGAAACCCGGAAGGAAGGAGACCACTTCCGCAAGTTGCTCAGAAAGGGGTCCTGTGGCGGGCCCCTGTGAGCCTTTGGGTTTCAAAAAGTCAAAATTCCACCTGAGCGACTATCAGCTTGTCAAGTAGGGCCCTGTCCCATGAAATTGACAGACTAAGCATCTACATGTGGGCTCAGAGACCCGAGTTCGGTGACAGATTATATTAGTGTCCGATTCTAAGCTATCGCTGCGGTTCGCTGTTCGTGTGAATGTGGCAATGTTTCTGGAGTTCCAGTCGGTATGGTGACGGGTTACCGGCTCAACAACCCGGGTTCGATTTTCCGGCACGTACAAGAATTATCTCTTCTTCTCAGGGTCAAGACCGGCCCTGGGGCCCATTCAGCCTCCTATCCAATATGTACCGGGGCCTCTCTCTCGCTTTCTCCGGGGTTAATGCGGTCGGGGCGTGAAGTTAACACTCCTCTCCATCTAGTGCCGAGGTCAAGAACGGTGGAGCTGTACCTCTACTCCCCCATATGTCTTCATGGCATTGTGCGTATTTAATTAAGCGTACGGACAACTTTACCACCTTCAGGGTCGAAGTGTGACACTTCTATCCTGAAGATGGAGGCAGGTAGTGTCTCCGATATTCAGACATGCACGAGGTGTAAACAACCGACGTCACCTACTTAAACCAGTGGTCTGCTTGGGGCCATCCGAGGTAGTTAGCAGTCTCCCTCAGTTCTGTTTGCAGGGTTACAGGGCCACTGAGTCCTGTCGAACCGATATGCCCTGTTTACGTAGTGCGGGGTCTTCCTGTTTCATCTGACTATGTCTTCACACTTCCCACACAAAAAGCGTACCAGTTAACTAAACATGTACAAAGTTGCCCCCGTGCTTAACTAATTAACCACTACGTCATGAAGAAGTATGGGGGAGTTGACGTGGTGTACATCCACGTTTTCTTGTAATAAATATGTACGTCACTTAAAAGAAATTAGACCTCTCAGAGACGGAAGTATTAAAGATCTACTGACTGTGCTCTAATGTCCCCAACCCCGCAGAAGAGAGATATGTTGCGGTTTCCGCGATAATGCTAACAGCGTGATGTAGGTATGTTCTGGTTTTGAGATAATGCTAACAGCGTGATATATGTTCTGGTTTTGAGATAATGCTAACAGCGTGATATATGTTCTGGTTTCCGCGATAATGCTAACAGCGTGATATATGTTCTGGTTTCCGCGATAATGCTAACAGCGTGATGTAGGTATGTTCTGGTTTCCGCGATAATGCTAACAGCGTGATATATATTCTGGTTTCCGCGATAATGCTAAACCCCGCAGAAGAGAGATATGTTGCGGTTTCCGCGATAATGCTAACAGTGTGATATATATTCTGGTTTCCGCGATAATGCTAACAGCGTGATGTATGTTCTGGTTTCCGCGATAATGCTAACAGCGTGATATATGTTCTGGTTTTGAGATAATGCTAACAGCGTGATATATGTTCTGGTTTTGAGATAATGCTAAGAGCGTGATGTATGTTCTGGTTTCCGCGATAATGCTAAGAGCGTGATATATGTTCTGGTTTTGAGATAATGCTAAGAGCGTGATGTATGTTCTGGTTTCCGCGATAATACTAAGAGCGTGATATATGTTCTGGTTTTGAGATAATGCTAAGAGCGTGATATATGTTCTGGTTTCTGCGATAATTCTAACAGCGTGATGTATGTTCTGGTTTCCGCGATAATGCTAAGAGCGTGATATATGTTCTGGTTTCCACGATAGTACTAACAGCGTGATATATGTTCTGGTTTCCGCGATAGTGCTAACAGCGTGATATATGTTCTGGTTTTGGCGATAATTCTAACAGCGTGAGATTTGCTGCGGTTCCCGTGATAATGCTACCAGCGTGATACATGTTCTGGTTTTCGCGATAATGCTAAGAGCGTGAGATGTGTTGGGGGTTCCGCGATAATGCTAAGAGCGTGAGATGTGTTGTGGGTTCCGCGATAATGCTAAGAGCGTGAGATGTGTTGTGGGTTCCGCGATAATGCTAAGAGCGTGAGATGTGTTGTGGGTTCCGCGATAATGCTAAGAGCGTGAGATGTGTTGTGGGTTCCGCGATAATGCTAAGAGCGTGAGATGTGTTGTGGGTTCCGCGATAATGTTAGCAGTTTGAGAGGTATCGTGGGTTCTGCGATAATGCTAACAGAGTGATATATGTTCTGGTTTCCGCGATAATACTAACAGCGTGAGAGGTATCGTGGGTTCCGAGATAATGCTAAGAGCGTGAGATGCGTTGCGGGTTCCTACATAATGCTGATTACTTGAAATGTGTTGCAGGTTCCCCGATAATGCTGAAGGAGGAGGAGAGTACCTCCACTCTTCTTACCCCTCCACATACCCCTACCCAATGTGCTACAAGCCGATTCCCCTTCAACGAGGACAGTTGTAGCGATATGGAACAACCCCGGGCCCCGTTGCCCGAGAGGTGGGGTCCTCAGCCCCCCCTACACCTACAGCCTTTCGGGTTCTGCATCAGGAAGGAAGAAATGACTATGTCGTCAGCTTTCAGACCGTTCTGCAGCTCCATGGTTCCGTGCCTGCCGCCAGAGCCCGCCAGCTACCCGGCGCTGCTCTGGCTTTACGGTCAGGCCGCGTCGCGGTGCTATGGGCCGGGTTTGCAGGAGCCTAGGCCGGCGCCTGTTGTCACAAAGACTGCCGCAGGGACAGGCCGTACTGGGGGCAGTGGGGGGCCCAGCTCCCGGCCCACATCGGCTTCGCGCCCCAAGAAGCAGTTCATCTGCAAGTTCTGCAGCCGCCAGTTCACCAAGTCCTACAACCTGCTGATCCACGAGCGCACGCACACGGACGAGCGGCCCTACTCGTGCGACATCTGCGGCAAGGCGTTCCGGCGCCAGGACCACCTCAGGGACCACAGGTAGGAGTACAGCGGTCACACTTGGCAGGGAACTGTTGCACAGACTGGGGACTCCTGACAGACATCGTGTATTCGTTCTGTTGCAGGTACATCCACTCAAAGGAGAAGCCGTTCAAGTGCGGTGAGTGTGGCAAGGGGTTCTGCCAGTCGCGGACGCTGGCCGTGCACAAGATCCTGCACATGGAGGAGTCCCCACACAAGTGTCCGGTGTGCAGCCGCAGTTTCAACCAGCGCTCCAACCTCAAGACACACCTGCTCACGCACACCGACCACAAGCCCTACGAGTGCGCTGGTTGCACCAAACTGTTTCGCCGCAACTGCGACCTGCGTCGTCACGAGATGACGCACTGTGACGCCGCTCTGCTCGATCTATCAGTTAGAACACCGCCCCCAGCCGCGAGGAAGCCAACGGGGTTCACTATAGCGGACATTATGGGGCGGTAACAAGTTGGTCCGTATTTATCTTTTGTTTAAATTGATTGTGCCCAGAAGTGTGGAAAGTCGCGGTCTTTGAGCGGGTGGGACTAGGCAAAGGGGAACGTAAATTGTTTTGTGACCAACAGCGCGGACTGTGTAGGCGACACAGTTAACAATCTGTGTATAGCTGTGTGTACGTGTCCCTGATGTACCAAAGTGTTACGGGTTTGATTCCTTTATCCCTACTTTTTCTTGCTGTACAAATTTTGTATCTGAGTTACACCGCCTAGAGCTGGGGTAGGGACATCTGTCTGATACACGTAATTCGATATGTTTCCAGCAGGCGGCGTGAGTCTGTTGCTTGCTGCCAGCTCAGTTAATATTTTGTGTGTGCTGAGATAGCTGTACAGGATGTTCCACATAACAAGTCACTGTAAAGAGTACCCTGTGACGCGGTTTGTTATTTCTGCTCCCCACAACTCCACCTCCACAGCATCTCTGTCTGCACTGCACTGAACTGCCTTCAGCTGTCATCACGTCTATGAACAGGACCGGGTTCGGCCCACGTGCAGGGTAGATTTAGAAATGAACAGCCAAGCGCAACATTTCACCAGTTCGGACACTTCTCTTAGAGTAGGTTATCGTCACGGTAATGCTGTACCACTTGTACTCGGGCCGGACCCGAGTTTTTCTTTTTGTGGTTTTCCTGAGTTGCTCGAAGCGATTGCCAGAACACTACCTCGCTTAGGCCATGTCCACTTACATCCAGATCCTTTCCAATTCATCTGTCATCCCACCATTCGACTCCGTGGTGCCTTAACACAAAGAAGAGTTGTTTTTTTTTAAGTTTCTTGATGGTGGGAATGAGACTGAGTCCACTCGGTACGCCCGCCACTATTTGGCCTATTGTACCAGCCCCAGATGATAGGTGAGGGTGATTGTGGAGCAATTGGTGGAATGAAGATTGGCAGGGGAAACCGAAGTACTCGGAGAAAACACAAATCCCATTTGACCAGACCCGGGATCGAACCCTGGCCGCCGCGGTGGGAAACCAGCGACTAGCCGCTTGAGCTATGGCGCGGCCTACAAGGGACTTAGTCCCACCCCACTAGCAATAAAAAAAATGTTCCGAGTCGCGTCATGGCACCGGACTTGTGGGGCAGCCTGCAGCTGCGGGGTGGAACCCCATTAGCAGAGAAATATGATCCGGGGTTTGAGTGCGGGGGGATTGCTTTACTTTCGCCAGCCTCCCTCCCAAGTAATTTCGTTCCCAGTCATTAATAACGCGGACTGGCCCTGCCTGGCCTGGCCGGTGTCCGGTTACTGCATGCAAATGCAGTGTCTCTCTGTCTCAGCATTCCAGTAGTCTGTCTCCGGTTCGATTTCAGCCCGTTTCATGCGCCCGACCCCACCCGTACGTCCACAGATTCTGGTGGGGGAGACCAGGTGCCGCACTGGCGCCTGTGTCAGACAAATGACTACTCAAATAATTCGCCCTTCTGTTTTTGTTTGTTCATGTAGCACGCATGGGACAGAAGGAGAATGCATATACGATTGTCAGTGGCTCGAATGGGTGGGTAATAGCAAACAATGAATTGTAGAGCATGTGGTAGCCTAATCTGAGGTGTGATTGTGGTAGTTGTCTGGAGGAAGTGAGGAAAACCACGAGAACGCCAGTCAGGATAGTCAGTGCCCTGGCCGAGATTCGAACCGGACACTTCTCAAACGCAAGGTAGAAGTGATACCGTCTCATGCCCGAAGCTCGTTAGATAATAGAATCCAGTTCCTACTTGGCCCTAACAAAGGCCACGCCTTCCAGACTGGAATACAAGAGAATCGCCGCATATAGTGAGACCAAATGCACTCTGTCGGTGATGATAGGAGTTAGATTTACCGCGGGGTTTGGCTGACGGAAAGAAGGCGTATAGGAGCACACAAGTATGCAACTAGCTCCACGTATTTTTAAGCACGGCAATAGGTGAAGGAAAGAAGTCAGCCTCTCGCTCCGGCCCCATTGCCCAACCCGCCTGAGCGCTTTGTTGATAGGCCTATAGGTTTAGATTACGAGCTAGCAGCCGTTGTGATGTTTACCTCCTGGAAAGCGAAAAATTTGTAGTTGCCAATTGCATGTAAGGCAGTCTGTGATTGGCTACGCCTGTCAGATTATTTACAACTTAGCCTTTAAAGGATTCGGTAAGAGATGAAGCGATTTTTGTTTAAGATTCAGTGTCTGTATTCGGATAGAGGGACTGAGAAAGATCATGATGATCCTTAATCAGGATAGGCAGGCACCGGAGTGCTGGGACCTGTACGGCGTGAAGTCGGCATTTCGTGGCCCGACTATGAATGAACTAGTGCGTCCAGCTGGACATGTCTGGGGACGACAAAGGAGGCGCGTGATGAGGTCAGAAGAAGAGCAGCTGAAATGAAACAGAGCTCAGTACCGTTAGTGCAGAATGCAGGAAGTTGGACAGTGGAGAGCTTCATAATTCGGCTCTGTCAAATATCTTATTAACCCTTTATAGACAATAACTTCGAATTAATATATAAAGACGCAGTTCGTACCTCACAGGAAACACGTTATGTCTCCGCTACAAAGCCCAACCGGTTAATGCTGTTTAGCGAGACAGTCGCTGTTTATTATGGGAAGCATACAAAACACTTAAAATAACCATACGGAAGGCACAAACTGTGTGGGCAGAATTCAAACTTATAATATGTTAAAGCAGGTGGTACTTATAGTAACCATTAGGCTTTAAAGGGTTAAGGAATCAAATAATAGAGAATGGGATGGGCTACACTTGAAGAATGCATCAGAAGATGATAAAACATATAGACCCAACCGTTTTATACGACTATAATTTGAGGTTCTTGCAGGTGTGATAATTAAGATTACGATCATCTGTGGTGTGACGCCGTGTAGTCTATTGGGTAGGTATCATGTTTCGGAGGAACTTACTGCCTCCATGCTAAAGGTGTAACAAGATTTCTCTGAAGCGTTGGTGTGCATCCATCAAACTACATGACGTCACACCATAGAAGACTGCTATTTTCTTTAAAGATTTCTAGTTGGGAGACGCATTCAGAAAGGAGACACAGCTCCACACATTCTCAGTCTCGACCCTACATGCAGGTGAGTTGTCTGTTTCACGCCCCGGCCGCCTTATCTCCATGGAAAGAGCACTGGTACGCATTAAGCAGGGGATGGGTAGGCCTCAGATTTTATGTGGACTCAAGGAATCTGCCGAACCCTGGCTGTCCGGTCCGGAGGGGTTATGCTGTGAGTGATGCTTGACCATAGCATGACCAGTAGACTGGACCGTGGTTGGGGACGAACGCGCTAATGATTTTAGTGGCTTCGGTCCGAGCTGGTACGAGATGTGACGTCACATCGCAGAAAACAAAATTTCGGATGAAAGATATTAATTTTGAGGAAGCAGACTGCTGCCGGCCGGCCGCAAGTATCGCACTGCGGTTTCCCACAGGCAGCCGGGCGCCGGGAGCAGCGTGTACCTGCTTATTAAGGGCTGGCTGTCACTGTTTGTTTCTGCTGCGCCTGCCTCCAAATTACAGCTTGCAGTGATACTAAACGTGGGAACAGGATCTATACCATAAAGATCGGAGGCTTGTATCCACGCCCCCTATACGCCCTCTAGGAATCTTTCTGAGAACAGAGGCATAGCCAAGAGCCGGGGTGAGTCCTAGGTTTAACCGCTCTCGCTGGGAACCAAACGTTGTCTTTTTCTTCTAGTCACGTAGCCAGGCCAACAAGTGACCTGTCAGGCCTGTATCTCTACCATAGGTCTTTTCAGGCCTTAGTCTTCCCGCAGGCCGACACTCAGTGTTCAAGTGGCCAGTGCCTTTCCTCCCTCCATCCGATACGAGGCTCTACGAAGTGCGCTTTCGTCTGCTGCTACTAGCCCAGCACTTCAGGACCTGGTAAGATGTTCTCAAGCTACACAATTCGAATCCCTTCCTGTCCCCGTTCGTACCACCTGTAGGTCCTGTATTGTGAGAGGTCATGGTCACTTCCTTCCTCCGTTACAGAAAATTTTGGTGGACAGACTTCTGCAAAGGTCAAGCAGTGCTGTTGGATACCCAAACAGCTCAGCCGATGGACAATTCGTGTTTAGTCTTCTGGGTTATGGCGCTGTGTTCTAGTCCGGTAGGTCGATATCAGCATTCAGTGTAACATACTGTCTTCATCTTCAGGGTAGAAAAAACGCCCCACCTACCAGACAACACTGTGTCGTAACTCAAAAGACCACAATGAGAACGCAATTCGTCAGAACTGAGCTACAGGTCATATTCTCTGTCCATAGTTACCTTATGCAGTGAAGGCCTATGGGGCGCATGGCGGTAGACCTCCATATATTCTTAGCCGTTACCTCGGCGCTACATATAATTCACAGTGCCTGCAGGGCGGCATGGAACACGGACAAGGCTCTAGATGTGGCAAAAAGAAAGCCTAGTTCACAATGAGCCGAGAGCGTAACGAAGTAGTTGCGAAGTTACGACCACCACAGTGAGCATCGTAACGGCACTAAAACACTGAGCAACTTGGCTCAGGCGGTAAGGGTTCTGATTGGTCCCGGTTCGAATTTCGGACGGAACACCAATATGTTTCGCAGTCTTCCTCAGCCCCTCCAAACTAATCCCAGGATTACAGGCCTACCTTAAATTAGGTCACTACCACTTCCTTCCATATCCCTTTCAATTAACACTGACGCTATGCTGACCCATCTGAGCTACTGTCAGCGTCGTTAAGTAAACAAATAAACACTCGAATCGTGTCGCTGTGCTTACTGATTGCCCGTTGTGCTGCTGTAGGGACTGACGGCCGACAGGAGGCGGTTCAACTACCTGCCTGGCACGTGAGCACGTTTACAAGTGCTCGCAATCACGTTCTGACATCTTGACCCTCGGAGACAGGCCCTAAATGTCCACTGGACTGCTGTATGGTGGTAAAAGAACTGATGAACCCAGATCGTCGAAATCACTTTAAGGGTTTCATACTACCTCTCCAGAGGGGAAACAAAAAATTTACTTCTCACAGAATTTTTAAGAGCAGTGGTGCTTAATGTGTGAGGACGTTGCTTCGACACCTGCCGCACACAAGTCTGCTGCGCGCGGTACGCGCCTTCTGTGTTTAAATTAACTCTAGAACCTGCCGTACCCATCCCGAGGCTCTTGGATCGTCTTGCACGATGCTGCCATCTGGTTTTGACTCGCGTTTGTGCACACGCGAGCCGGCTGGCATGCACGCTCTGCACATGCGCGTGGGATGCTGCGGTCCTGAGCTTTTCTCACGAATACTGTTTTGTTTTTTGTTTGAGGGCGGAGCCATTCGCGTAGCAGGACATGCAACGTAACACGGCAGTCGCGTGCCACGGCCGGCTGGTTTTCCTCAGTCACTCCACAGTCACAAATATTAACATGGGGTACAAATAT